GTCCCTGTGTCCCTGTGTCCCTGTGTCCCTGTGTCCCTGTGTCCCTGTGTCCCTGTGTCCCTGTGTCCCTGTGTCCCTGTGTCCCTGTGTCCCTGTGTCCCTGTGTCCCTGTGTCCCTGTGTCCCTGTGTCCCTGTGTCCCTGTGTCCCTGTGTCTCTGTGTCCCTGTGTCTCTGTGTCTGTGTGTCTGTGTGTCTGTGTGTCTGTGTGTCTGTGTGTCTGTGTGTCTGTGTGTCTGTGTGTCGCGGTGTGTCGGTGTGTCGCGGTGTGTCGGTGTGTCGCGGTGTGTCGGTGTGTCGCGGTGTGTCGGTGTGTCGCGGTGTGTCGGTGTGTCGCGGTGTGTCGGTGTGTCGCGGTGTGTCGGTGTGTCGCGGTTCTGTGTCGGTGTGTCGCGGTGTGTCGGTGTGTCGCTGTGTGTCGGTGTGTCGCGGTGTGTCGGTGTGTCGCGGTGTGTCGGTGTGTCGCGGTGTGTCGGTGTGTCGCGGTGTGTCGGTGTGTCGCGGTGTGTCGGTGTGTCGCGGTGTGTCGGTGTGTCGCGGTGTGTCGGTGTGTCGCGGTGTGTCGGTGTGTCGCGGTGTGTCGGTGTGTCGCGGTGTGTGTGTCGCGGTGTGTGTGTCGCGGTGTGTGTGTCGCGGTGTGTGTGTCGCGGTGTGTGTGTGTCGCGGTGTGTGTGTCGCGGTGTGTGTGTCGCGGTGTGTGTGTCGCGGTGTGTGTGTCGCGGTGTGTGTCGGTGTGTGTGTGTGTCGGTGTGTGTCGGTGTGTCGGTGTGTGTCGGTGTGTCGGTGTGTGTCGGTGTGTGTGTGTGTGTGTGTCGGTGTGTGTGTGTGTGTGTCGGTGTGTGTGTGTGTGTCGGTGTGTGTGTGTGTGTGTCGGTGTGTGTGTGTGTGTCGGTGTGTGTGTGTGTGTGTGTGTCGGTGTGTGTGTGTGTCTGTGTGTGTGTGTGTGTCTGTGTGTGTGTGTGTGTGTGTGTGTGTGTCTCTGTGTGTGTCTCTGTGTGTGTCTCTGTGTGTGTCTCTGTGTGTGTCTCTGTGTGTGTCTCTGTGTGTGTCTCTGTGTGTGTCTCTGTGTGTGTCTCTGTGTGTGTCTCTGTGTGTGTCTCTGTGTGTCTCTGTGTGTCTCTGTGTGTCTCTGTGTGTCTCTGTGTGTCTCTGTGTGTCTCTGTGTGTCTCTGTGTGTGTGTGTCTCTGTGTGTCTCTGTGTGTCTCTGTGTGTCTCTGTGTGTCTCTGTGTGTCTCTGTGTGTGTCTCTGTGTGTGTCTCTGTGTGTGTCTCTGTGTGTGTCTCTGTGTGTGTCTCTGTGTGTGTCTCTGTGTGTGTCTCTGTGTGTGTCTCTGTGTGTGTCTCTGTGTGTGTCTCTGTGTGTGTCTCTGTGTGTGTCTCTGTGTGTGTGTCTGTGTGTGTCTGTCTGTGTGTGTCTGTGTGTGTCTGTGTGTGTCTGTGTGTGTCTGTGTGTGTCTGTGTGTGTCTGTGTGTGTCTGTGTGCGTGTGCGTGTGCGCGTGCGTGTGGGTGCGTGTGGGTGCGTGTGTGTGCGTGCGTGCGTGTGTGTGTGTGTGTGTTTTCTCTTGTTTTGTCCTTCTTGTTGTTCCTTCGTCCACTGGGCAACGTCGTGGTGTGTTTGCCGGCCGCCAGGTTCCATCCAGCAGGTCTGCGAGGATGTGGATGCCAAGCCATCACCTGAGATGCAAGTTGAACGGAAACACTTGCCATTTGCTACACCTGGGTAAAGATTGACTTGTTCTTGGCAGGTTTTTTGGTTTTGATTTTTGTTGATCATGTTCATGGCGGCTGTAAAGCCGCCGAGAAATGTGTTTGCTACCAACCAAGGGTTGCGAAGAAAAGTAGATGTCGCACTTTCCGGAAGGTGTAGGTAAGTAGTTGAAGGGGAGACTCAACCGAAATGGGTTGGAATTTCTGGCCATCTACCCTGTCAACTTCAGCTTTGGAGGCAGAGAGGTATTGAAGAAAAAACAAATCCAGCACCCAACGACTTGTTTAGCCCATGTCCGAGCCCCCAAAAACTATCTAAGTGGCAAACAAAAAGTGTGGACTTTTCCTGGCCAATCCACTAGGAAGTGCGAAACATGCAATAGTTCCCCATGATTAAGTGCGGGAACGATACTCAAACGCTTGCTGGCGGATTGTAGTTGCCTTGTTCAAGTTGCCTGCAGGCTGCAGGTGTTGTTTCCATTTGACTTTTGACCCACAAATGATTCCTCCAATGTCTTTTTGAGATTCTGCCTGACCCGCTCTCTTGATCCGCCTAGTGGTAAACCCAGGCGGACCTGGGAATTTGCTGACGGCCACCACGTCAGACCTGCAGCCCGCATAGCCCAGGTACACGGGCACGTTGACTATCAACTGCGCCCTCGGCGAAGTGTCCCTGTCGGACAATTCTTGTTCCGCTCAAGCCCCAGAAGCGATGCAGAGCGCCATCCATTAACCGAGGCAAGTTCTTGCGCTCGTGTGCGTACATGGGTGCTTTTCAATCTTGGGCGATTGCAAAATGGGTGGTGTTCTATTAACGACCTCCCGTAAAACCTACCAAGCAGAATGCACCATGTTGAGAAGCCACCCCCCAAATGAGTTTGTCCAACTGGTGGCCCGGGGCAGGGTGGAGCAATGAAGCAAATACCTTCGTCACATTGAGTCGCTGGTTTTTGCTGCAGAACCCCAAATGGGCTGTTCCTTTTGCTTTTCCTTTCAAAACCATCTCAAACGATGCTGGCCATCCCCATTCTCCAAAAAAACAGGTCAAAGGGTGAACCCTTGGCAGGGTTGTCTCCTGGAGACTACATTATTGGACACATAGATGCCGTTCCCCTTACAAGTGTATATCCTTTCCTCTCGGTCGCCAAGCTGACAAACGGGCGAGGCTAATAAATAGACCACCTGTCAACCACCCCCTGGCCGTCATGTTGGTTTTCCTGGAGGTGTGTCCAAAATTCGGACCCTTTTGGAATCACAAGGGAAGCTTTTTTTGGGAATCCCTTAATGTTGGGCACACTCACTGGACAACTCTTCACCAGGATCCCGCAACGGCTTTCGCATGGGAGGCCTAGTTGGGGGCCCATTGGACTATCACTGCAGATAAGCCCTTTCGGCATGATTTTCGATGGAAGCCCAAAGGAAATTCCCTTTGTGAAATAATCCCAGAAATTATTGACCTGAAGGGTCGGTCCCTCCCTTATTTTTAGGAGTGCCGTCAATTGGCCCCAATACAGCCCAAAAGAGGTCCCTACAAACTGCAGGATTTGGTCAATATTGTTGGTTGGAATCTCCAGATGGGTGGCATTTTGTTTGAGGGTTACACTTTTCGGTAAAAGGGAATCTAGAAGGCAGCTATTGATTTTTGGGGGGGCCCTTGTTAAGACAACCCCAACAAGCTCTGGCCGCAAAAAAAGATGAGCATCATTTACAAGGTGAGCCAAAAGCAAACACCTGCTTGCTGTTCATATTCGAGTATGGATGTTAGGGTTCTCAACTTTTTGCCAACGGACTTGGGTTTTCCGTATTAAACACTAAAAGTGAGTCACTTTGAGCAGGGGAGCAGAAAGAAACCGAGTGGGGTCTCCTTCAAAATGAAGTTATGTTGTAGGATAGACTAGATTTATGGAACAGAATATTATTTTTGTTTGTGTACCCCAGGTTTGGGTGGTTGTGGAAAGTTGGCTTTTAGGGCCAGTTTCTGTGATATGAAGAAAAACTTTAAGTGACAAAATAGGCACAATAATCCTACTTACTTTTGTATCATACTGTGGATGGACGAACTCCTGCACCCAAAAAAGCCCTGGGTTATTTCTTCCCCTGTAAATACCCAACAATTGTTACGGTTGCAAAGTGGTGCCTTTGAACGGATTTCGTCCCACAGTGATTCTGACTCAGATCCTTTGGTTCGCCTTCGGCGGATCTTCGGGCGGAGATCTGAGGCGAAGCCCTGCGAGCCCTGGGACTTTGTGGCTGCCACGCTGCAAGGGGCGCGGATCGGATCGAGCGAGCCGCGAAAGACCGGAGACAGGGGGTAGCCCTGGGGCTGCGTCAAAGGGAAATCAAAGGTCCATTTGTGGGGGTGAGATTTTTGAGACGCACCCATACATATATGTATGTATATATATATATATACATACATGTACATATAAGGGATATCCATTATGTTTGCATGCAATCATAGATGCATATGCATACATAGATAGACATACCTAGTATGTGTGTGTGGTGTATGCACTGGTATTGATATGTATATGCCATTGTCCCACACTTATTGCATAGTTAGCCATGTTGCATGTACATACATCATCCATCGTTTGGATCACTGCCCACGGTTGCCGGTGTGATTGCTCCAGGAGTGATGGCTGCTTTCATTCACTGCTGTCAGAGTTCCGACCAAGCTCAGCGGCTTCTCAGTTGCTCCCTCTGAGTTGAGCCCTTAGTAAAGCCCTTATGTTGGCTTCTCTCCTCCCCCCCCCCGACCAACATGATTCAATTTGGTGGGTGACGTGTAATACCATGTTAGGGTTTTCAGAAGTCAAAAGGGGCTCAAAGGGCGAAGAACTTGTCGTGAGGGCAACCAACATGCGCCACCCATTGCAGGCCCACGGTCTTTTCACATCCCCCCATTTCTCCATATTTGGATTTAGTGCAGCTGAGTGGCTGACAGGGTGCTACTGCAACTTGTGCTTTCTTATTGAAGCAGCCACGGAGAGAACCTAAAGCCTCAAGCGCGTCACGTGGGTCACGCTGGGCACGTGCAGTTCGATCCAAAATTGGCTTTGGCCTGCACATGCTGTACTTAGACGATAGGGAGAGATGGACCTAGGCATCTGAGCCTCCTTTGACTCAGCGGGTTTTGGTTTCTGGGGCCCCCAGTGGTGCCCTTTTACCCTCTTTTTTTTTGGGGGGGGTCCCCTACTAAAATCAGAAACAAGGGCACCCTTATTAGGTCCTCTCTACTGGAGGACCTAGATTTGCACTCCATGGGTTTTCTCGAAGTTCGCCTCTCTTTGCACTGGTTTGACTCATTTGGACTGCGCCGAGAAGAGAAAGGTACAAGAGGCTCCGGCAAGGGCTCCCTCATCTCTTGGCCACCTGGACCTCATTGAAAGTGGTCTTAGAATGAGCTCCCAAAATGGTGAGTAGTCTTGTTGTTTCCCTTTCAAATCAACCCCAAAAATGGCTGGCCTCAAGAAAAAACACATCTACACCCATTCAGGGCCTGCTCCACTCGAATTTCGCCAGGCGAGCGGCCTGCTCTACCCCAAAGCTCAGATTGTGAGCGGAAGCACAGGCATCGACAGATGGGGATTGGTGTCAGGACACCAAGCCTAGGTCCCCCAGTGCCCTGTCTCACCCCTTTTTGGGTTACGAGTATTCCCCTACTAAAATAAACTACACAAAAAAGGGTACCCTTAGTCTAAGCTCTCTACTGGAGGACCTAGCCAAGCAAATGGCGGTTGTACCTGGAGATTCCCGTAAACCAAGCTAAAAAAGGTCTCCTCAAAAAGAAAGACACACGCACGTATCCATAGGTCAAAGGCTTGCTGGTGGGATAGGCAGGGTTTTGCGGGAATGACCCCTTTCGAACTGAAGCACTGGTAGAGCAGGTGCTTGCACACAGCCTTTCGGAAGTTCTGGTCGAGGTCCGGACTCTCAACAATCTGATCCGTACCAAGCCAGTACTTTCCTGGAAATATGGGTGTGGCTCAAAATTCAGGAGCTGGGGTTACGCAGGTTTTAGTCTTTGGCTCCAGTTTCCAAGGTGCCAATTTGGTACTTTTTTTGAGCCACAGCCATATAGCCACCCGGATTGCCGCAATGACACCCCCGGGAAACTTGGGCTTCCGGAGTTACAGAACTTCTAAGAAAGTTTCTCAGTACCGGTTTCCTTTCACGGAACGCGGTGCAAGAACCAACGAGAAGCACATATCTTCAAGATATTGACATTGCCCATTTTGTTTCATGGGCCGGGTGCACACAAAAGAACAACCTTAATAACTTAAGCAACGGTGGAGTAGCCTTCAAATAGTCTATGCCCCAAATCTTCATGCTAGCAATTCCAATGGAGTCATGAACGCCGCCTTCGAAAATGCAAACGGGTAGTGGGCTCTTTGATGTGCACAAGTTTGCGTTGTTACGTTTTAGAGTGAATTCATGTTCATATCCTTTGAAAGGGAATCGAAAGTGCTACTTTCATTGACCAAGTTATTATAGCGGGGTTCTCTCTTTTGTGGTGATGCATGTTCTTTCAGGTGGGACCGAAACCCCCGAAATGTAGCTGTGGTGTGATGGAAAGATTTCACCCCCAGCCCCCTTCCCAAAGAGGTGGATGAGGAGTACATGAGCCCCAGCTAGTGCGGCAGCACACAGCAATCATCACACCGATTCACAGATCCGTGGCGCCAGCCTGCAGCAGTTGCCGGAGGGTCTCTAGGCTCCATGTGAGGCAATGGGGTTGTAATTACTTGGCTGTGGCTCAAAGTGGTAGCAACTTTTGGGCGCCTTGGATGGGAAGAAAGACCAAAACCTCAGTTCAGTGGCACCCTTTGTCCTTCTTTTTTCTTGGTGGCTGCCCCAATAAAATGGTCTTCCCCGAAAAGGGTTCCCTTTTTTTTCCAGGGTCACTGAACAACTGAGAAACCAGCGTGACCCCAGCTCTTTACTTTTGAGCCACACCCACTTATGTGCTGCTGCGGGCTTGAGAGCAGCAACATCTTCCCTGTATTGCGTGAAGGGTCTGTGCACCAAGCAGTGAGACACCTGCGAACGATGACGCTGATTCTATGGCTAGAGCCTTCACGTCGTCACCACACACCTTTTGGCATAAGACCAATATGTCCCAAAAGCAGGAACCCCAGTTGAATGGTGGTTCAGGGAAAGAAAAAGGCAACCAAACATGTCCAAGAGTCCAAATCCGTTAGAACAACTCCCATGTGAAGATTGTTGAGACGAGTGTAGTCACCACATGAGGCATGAGGCATGCAATTGGGCATTGAGCAAACTCCCGCGCAGGTGCCCGGGCAGCTTGTTTTTGGCTACTGCGAGACACACATGGTTTTCTTTGGTTCTCAGCACATGAAGCACCCCCGCAAAAAGACCAAGTGATGTGGAAGGTTGACCCAAGATTCATACACCCTGCTGTTTGTGAGTATAGGGTGTCCCTTGCCTTTGGTGCATTTTGCCAAGGGATGTTAGGTGTTTGCCAACTATTTGTTGTTTTCCGTATTAAACCACTCAAAGTGAGTCACTTTTAGTAGGGGAGCAGAAAGCAACCGAGTTTTGTCTTGACCCGTGGTTGCACTCGTTTTTGGGGTCGTACGTTGAAAGTGTGGCCAAAAGGAAACCACAGCCAACTGCTAGGCTGGGTGGCCAAAAGGAAACCACAGCTAAGTACTGGGCTGCGACAAGCCGGAAGGTTTTCTTTCGATTGGCATGCTGGAGTCCGTATGTCAGGTGTCGGTGAGTGTGGAGATGTGAACGTTGAATGGAGCGGCGACTTTGTGCCGGGCAACTCAGACTGCCTCAGACCGCCGGCCGCGATCGGCTCCTTGTCACCTTTGACCTTTCGGTCCAAGTCTCCTGATTTGTTTCTGCCAAGACACTTCTGGGGCTTCCAATAGAAGACCCAGACCCTCCATTGGACACCCCAGAGGGGTTTTGGGGTCTCAAAACCTGGCTGTTTGAGGGCCCAAATTAAATCGGGAGCGTCTGGGTGGTTTGTTTGGGAGGGACATGGGGGGGCCAACCAAAACCCGGGGGCTCACTAAATATTAGCCACCACAACCACGAGACGATTTTGGCAGGGTCAAGTATTTTTGACGAAGGGCCACCTCGGGAAAAAAAAAAGCAAAAACAAAAAAAACAATTGTGTGCCCTCCGTCCGCACACATATATCTTCTTTGCCGCAAGAACAACGAGCTCGGGGAAGCGACGAGCTCGCTCATGCTTGGGGATTCGCGAATTCAGGCTGTTGTATTGTAGAAATTGCAGACTTGCGGGGGGTAGTTTCGCAAACGCAGAGCTGCTGAAGGCCCTGAGAGAACAGTGACTACAATCATACCAGGACTCTACCAAGATGGACTCTACCAGGATGATGCCAACTTGCCCATCCCCAAATCAGAGCCGGCTGTTGAGCCCTGGCCGCTAGCCAGACGGATATGATCATTTTCTTGCTGCTTCGACGGGCAGGGAATGAGCAATGGATTAAGAAAAGCCATCCCCGCTTTGGCTTCCTTTATGGGTGAATCTTCTTCCGGTACACTCCCAAAAGCATGGGTCATTCCTGAGTGAGCAAAGGCCCACACTTCAGGATTTTATTGTTTGGGGGGGTTAGAAAGGGTTAGAGATGGATGGCCACAGAACGTCGTTGGGTACTTGGACCCTCAGAAAGTAGATTCCAAGTTTTTGGTTCACAAGAGATGCCTTCGGCGAATGCGTCGCCACCCTTCGCTCTTGAACAGCACCTCGGCTGGAGTTGATGAATGGAGTCCCAACCTGCATTTCCCCAAACAAAACCGTCAATCTACGAGTGTGTGGTTTAAGCATGTGTTCAATTGAGGCTGGGGTGGTTGCTTCAAGATGCAGGTTCCGCATGTGTTCACCAAAGCAAAGCACGGCATTCGTCCAGTTACTGACTTCTCCTTGGACGCTCCAGGCGTCGGGACTGAATTCTCCAAGCTCCGGGATCCGAATCCGCGAAAAATCGATAGCGATTCCCAGGCTGAATTGCAACATGGGAGTGCTCGAGGCGCAGCCACTCGCTGGGGTGTGGGTCTTGCAGATCAACATGGCGTAGGCATAGCTACCCTAAGGCTGATTTGCAAGTGTATGTGTCTGCTTGGATGAACCCTGAAAGAGGGCACCAACTAAAGCCTATTCGACCGTGTGGCTGTGTAAAGAAGGCACTTCTTCTGGCCTGAAGGCAGTTGTTCTGTTGGTGGGCAGTTTTTTGAAATAGAGATCCCTTGTTCAAGACTGGCAATGCTTTCCTTGTGGCTTCCCTTCAAGCACCATCCCAAAAGGGGGTCCCAGATTGAGTTGAAAGTTGTTCTTCCTTTTTTACCCATTATCCTGTTCAGAAAGCGCAGATTTCCACTGGGTCGTTATTTGTGAACAGAATGAGGGCGGTATCTCTTCAAGTGTGAGTATACACAGGCCCCAATAGACACATTTTGCTGGCCAGTCATCTCTGTAGCTGAATTAAGAGTAAACCCAAACAACGAGTAAATGGTGCACAATCCAGGCTTGCGCTGAAGCCGACCTTGTGCATCCTAAATACTTAGGACGAGCAAAACCGGATCTTCGCTTCTTTTGGTCAGCACATGTTTCTTCGGGATGAAGAAGCACTTGTGCTACAATCCAAACCCGGGTAGATGAAGGCCAGCAAGGGACAATCCCCTTGCCACAAATAGCTGCGGCCATCTTCTTAATTCTTGAAGCATGGTTCTGGGAGTACGACCATTTTAATACCAGGTTTTCATTATGATTCACTTGGGATTTACCAAAACTGATGTTCCCTTTTCTGGTCAGTGCCGTGTTTGCTCGGGAAGTCTGTCCACACGTCGCAGGCCGGGGACTCTTCTGCCTGCCGCCAGACCTGCTCCTCTGTATCCAGCACCACGGCCTCTTGGCTGAGCTCGTCTTCGTTCGTCTCTCCAAAGTTCTGAGGGTTTTCTTGACGGCTATTGGGCAACGAATCTTTAGACTTTAACTTTTTGGTTGAAATCAAGTCGTGTTTTCCACTAAAACCCCAAAAAGTGAAAAGCTTTTTGCAGGGGGCCAAGACCAACCAAGTTTTGGTATTACACCCTGGGATTACACCCGCGGAGTATTGAACCCAGTGTCAGCACATTTCCGGATAAAACCGTGTTATTTTGAACCATTCTGGGTCATTTCCCAAGGGTGTAATCCCAGGGTGTAATACAAAAAACCCTCAGATAAGTGGACCAGCGGGTAACGGCGCGAGAGGAGAAGAGAAGGAGTACAGAGACGGATCATGGGAGAGCGGGCTTGGGGTAAAATATTATTCATTCCCAAGCTTGTTAACCCGCTCTCGTGCCATCTCTTTCATCACCTTCTTCCTTTCTCACCTCTTGATCACATCCTGCTAGGTCCCCCAGTGCCCTTTTGCCCCTTTTTTGGGAGAGGGTTCCCCTACTATAATAGACTGCAGAAAAAACTCAATCGGGACCAACTTATTTTAACCTCAAACCACTGGAGGAGCTAACCTAGATACAGCCAAAGGAAGCCCAAGCGTTGATAATTTGTCACCGCCACGGATCCAAGGATGCGATTTGGCCATGCGCTTTGCATGTTAGCCTTTGAGCCGGGTGGTTGGGAGCAGCGTTCACGTGGCCAACTTTTGGATTTAGGTTTAGTTTTTTTTGCGAAGCATGGCGAGACCAGTGAAACTTATGGTCAAATGGTTGTCGCGAATGAGAGGCCAAGGATACCTTGAAAGTAATACAGTAGTCACTGGGGGTGGAAAGCTTGGAAGTAGTTTCCACAAGCAGTCAACTCAACGTAGTTGGAAATAGACCACCTGTTGGATGATTTCCTACTCCCGGGCATGTTAGATGGTTTCGAAGCCAATATGGGGACATAAGGAGAACCAAAAGGCAAACCAACAGATAAATCACACAAGTAAGTCAACAGGTACACACCAAAGCTAAACCCCAAAGCTAAGCCCCAAAGCAAGCCAGCTGCAAAGCATTTGTCAAGCTAGTAGTTCGACATGGCGCCGGACTTCCCTGGAAATATATCCCCGAAACAGACGCTGCACACGTGAAATCGCCCTTCAGTTTTACCTATATGAGGTTCGGTCAACATGTTCAGTTTGGTCACATTGGGCTCGGGAAATGGGGGGCTCTCTAAATATCTTGCACGAAGGATCACCTTCGCTTCAGGTACAGCAGTACCGCATAGTCTAACTGTGGCACATGTACATAGGACCTAGCTGTTAAATTTTGCATTTGTGAGGTAGCTCTCTCCCATTTGCAATGGTTTTAAGATGCCATGGAAACACGCGCTGATCATCACCACGCTTGCAAGGAAGATCTGTGTGGAGGATTTATGTAGTTGGATGACTTTGGTGAGGAAATCTCAATTTCGGGCATCATTCTCCTAAAGCGAATGGGGATGATTCGATCAGCCGCAGGTTTGCGTGATGCGTTTGCGTTGAGTCTGGATGTGTTTGCAGTTGGTCGTTTAGCACAGGGCTCGCCTGGAGATTCGGATGTTGTTTGTTTGGTTTTCTCTTAATCCTCACGAGAATGCCGCAGAACTAATGATTCACACAATGTCACTCTAGTGCAGGCAAAGCAGTCTGCCAGCATGATGGTTCTGAATCAGCTTCTGACAAGGACAGGGCTAGGTGACAGACGACGATGGTTGTTGATGAAGCGTGACTCGTTTAATTGACGTGAGCCGTAGGTCCAGCACGTTTGAGCAGATCTTTGTCGAACACGGAAGTTGAAGGTTTGCCACCTATTCGCCCACCAAGTTGGCTGCATCTCAGTTGAGCCACTTGCTCAAAACCTGGGTAGATGAAGGTTGGTAAGGGACAATCCCCTTGCCACAAATAGCTGCGGATATCCGCCTTCTTAGTTCTTGAAGCATGGTTCTGGGTAGACGATTTTAGTACCGGGTTTCGATTGTGACTCAGTTGGCTTCCCTCGGGGCGTCACTTGGGTTGCCGGATTTGATTTGACGGTCAGCTGGGCTCAGGTGACCATTGATGGCACCGGCTACTCCGTGACGTGGGGCTCCTGAGGTTTTTTTGGAGTTTTTCCTGAGTCCTCCCCAGGTTGGGAGTTTTCCAGATTGAGTATGTCGGATTGAGTTTTTCGGAGTGTTTTTGAGTTTTCCTGGATTTGTGGCCTTTGTTGGCGAGATCAGAAAAACATCCTTGGGACTGAACAAATCCTCCGATGGGTCGAGCCAGTCGCTCGAAGTGAAATCAGGAGTCATTTAAGCTCATCCCCTATGATACGGGCGACGTGGCATAGAATTCCGAGCCCGGAGATCGCTCTAAATGAGATGTCAGCTGACAGTTGTTCCCCGTTTGGTGGATATGGTCGTATGGTCGACTAGGGTTGAAGAGTGGTTGAAACTGAATTCGGGTCAGTTGAAAGGGTCGACGAACTCTAGTACATGCCCTCTGCAAACTCGGCTCTTCAAGACTTCCATCTTAGTTTTCTAGGAAGTATCCTTCGAACTGGGAGGTGCTTTCATGGTTGTTGTTGGGAAATGTTTTACATTTTTGCTTATTGTGGCTTAGTGGGAAATCCCCAGTTGCTATTATTTTGCTCCCCTTCCAACGTCAACCAAGCTTTGTTCAGATCTCTTTGAATCTGTTTGTTCCACAGGTGCTTTGGATTCTCTGCCCCGGTCGGGCGCAAATTTAAGTCCTCTGCTTGTGGATAGAGAAGGACTCGAGCCGTCCGGTTTCCGTTTCCAGGAACAACCAGACCGCCCCAAGGGCTGCTAGGTCCCCCAGCAATTGGTGCCCTTTCTCACCATTTCTTTTTTTGGGGAGGGTTCCCCTACTAAAATAAGAATATAAGAATCAGGGTCCTCTTAGTCTGACCTCTCTACTGGAAGACCTAGGCTGCTGGATGGCCGCAAACCTGGACCCAAAGAGGTAACATTACAAATTGTTTGGTAGGCGTCCGGGTGGGAGGGGGGGGGGGGTTGGCAGTTGCTTTTGCATGTCGGCGCTTAGACACCCAGTTGCTGACCGGAAAGCCTCTATCATGTTGGCTTTGTATTGACTAGAATTGTGACAAAGTTTAGTGCAATGACTTGACAGTGGCTTCTTTCTAGAAGGGGTGCTTGATTTTGTTTTTTGTTGAAATGGAGCCCCACTTTGCGCTGCCAGAGCTAACTCTTACTATCCTCACCCGTACTGCCCTTAAATGGGTTCCATGCATTTCTCAATGTCGGTTGCAGGGTCGAGTAGAAGAAAGAGTTCCGTAAGAGAGCTATCGAGCCTTGTCTAAGATGTACCACGTCTCGGGGGAAGCGGCAGGCATGCATGCCCTCCTGTTCTGCTTTGGACAGCGCCACGCGATTGCGCCTTCGTTGTCGTGGAAAAAGGAAGAGGCCAAGACGTATACAGGCCATAAATATGTCCTGACCCAACCTCATGTGCATAGTTTTGCGCATACATGCATACTGAATCCACCGTCCATGTGCGTCCGTGCGTTTGCATCTATGCACCACGAGGCCGGCGGCGCGAATCGCGCACGATGCAGATGGGTCCCAGGTGCGGATGACGGAGAACGGCTGAGCGTTGCGGTTGTTTCCCGAAAATTGTGTGCCATGTGCTGCCCTCGTTCCTTTCTTTTGCCAAAGGGTTTTCAAAAAAAAAGGAAAAACAAAAAACGAAAAGAGTGTTTTGTTTTCCCATGACCACTGGGGGGTTGGGGTCAGCAATGACTTCAGATGCACCCGGAGGACTGTGTTCAGTTTGTTACTGGTTCTTTGTGAACTTGGCGCACTTTGATTGAAGTTTTGTTGCCAGGTGGCTTCCTCATTTTAGTCAAGGGCCAACAAGTTTATTTTTTTGGCCAATCAACCCAGCAGGTCGGGTCGTGCTGTGCTTTGCACCAGACCAATTAAACGCGCGGCATTCGTTGTAGGTAGTTATGCCAAGCCTTTGCCCAATAAGGTAACTTAGACCCCCCTTGAACTGTTTTTGTGTCGCTTGTAATGTATCCGGTTCTTTTTCCACACAACTTTGAGCTTTGTCGTCAACATTGTGACCCGCCATCCAACTGACAACGCTGCTGCCTTTTGTCTTCTTCATCATCAAAAGCGGTGTTGTCAGTGCTCGATATGATCATCGTCCTCGTCAGCAGCAGCATCAGCAGCAGCATCGTCATTGTTGCCGTTGTTGTCATCAGCGGTATCATCATCGTCATTGTCGGCTTCTCCTCCTCCTCCTCCTCCTCCTTCCTCGACATCATTATCATCATCACCATCATCATCACCAGCGCCAGCAGCACCACCACCAACAAAAAACCACCACCACCACCACCACCACCAACACCACCACCGACAGCAGCAGCAGCAGCAGCAGCAGCGGCAGCAGGAGTAGTAGAAGCAGCCCCAGCAGCAGCACCAGCACCATCATCATCGTCGTCATCGTTGTCGTCATCGTCATCGTCATCATCCTTGTCCTCGCGGTTGCAGCTGCTGTGTCGCTTCGCATTGTCTCCCACATGCGGAATCTAGTGTTCTCCAGCGTATTCAAACGACAAGTTGCCTTACCGCGGAGAGGGAGATGCAAAACAAACCGAAAGACAGAACGAAAGAGAAGAGGGAGAGAGAGAGAGAGAGAGAGAAAAAAAAGAGAAAATAAATAAATAAAGAACTAAAGAAAGAAAGAAAAAGAAAGAAAGAAAGCAAGCCAGCAAGAAAGAAACACAGAAACAAAGACAGACAGAAAAAAGAAGAGCTATTGAAAACAAGAACGAGAGCAGCTAGCACTTTCTGCTTGGCAATGCCGTGATCCCTGTTGGCTTGTTTTTTGTGCTTCAACTTTTGACACCAAGACTTTATGCCAGTGTTTCAACGCATCAAACATAATGACGTCTTGCTAACGCCTGCAAGTCCAATATGCTTGTCCTTGCTATGGGCTGATTTGGAGAGCGTCGGATTTCAAGCAGGCCAATCCCATGAAAGTAAGCCTTCTGCAAACCTTAGTGGTACCATTTGATGAGAGGCAAGGCCTGTTCTGAAAGTTGACTTTGCATTTGCCAGACACGCTGGCAAGGTGAGGTTTCCTCATGTCTCCTCTTTGGTGTGACCCACACGCACCACAGTTTGAAAAAAACGGAGTTTCCATTAACCCACACTAGGTCCCCCAGTAGTGCTCTTTTACATTTTTTTGGGGAGGGTTCCCCTACTAAAATAGACAAAACAGAAAAAGAGCTGGTACCAACTTATTCTAACCTGTCTACTGGAGGACCTAGCACACAAGGCGATCGACCTTTTGCTCGCGCCCCCGGGGTTTGGAACACCCCAGTCGCTGAGCAAAACTGCCAGGCTTGTGGCAACGTGGTCTACGGCTACGGCGGCGAGGTGTCCTTGCATTGCCAGCGCGCTCAGAGTCACAAGCAGAAACCGGTGGTGGTGTCAAAATAGGGGAAACCCCCGCAACAATGGGGTCTTTATTGGGCTTCCTTTTGGTTTCCCTTTAAAACAAGCCAAAAAGAGTACCCCTCAATCATCGCAGGGTGCGGTTCAGAGAGTATCTGGGTTCAGCCGAGGTAATGATGGCACGCTGACAGTGAACAGTCACGCTTGCCAGCCGGAGCCATGCCCAGCCCATCGCTCAGAGTGTTGCGCCGATTTTGATCAAGGTGTGTGTCAAAACAGGGGAACCCCAAAACAATGGCGGCTTCGTGACTTCCCTTCGGTTTCCCTTTAAATGCCTTTGAACCCATCTGAAAGGTGTACCCTCAAACAAAAACTAAGCTGTTTTTTGGTTTGGGTGGATATGAGCAACCTTACAGGTTTGATAGAGCCTCTCCGAGTACAGGTTTACTGAAAGTCGCGACCCAAGCCAAAACAGCCTGGCATTTACCCTTCCTTGTAAGATTCTGGGTTGCTTCCATGGCAGGTGTTTGCTACTTGCCGCACCTCAATTGAGTGACGTGTTTGATGTGGTCATGCTCATCTAACCCAGGTACTCATGCAGCATTCAACGATTCCATTTCCAGTCGACTTCCTTACGAGGGTTTGCTAGGGGCATGCCAACCTGCTTTTTGGACCCTCAGATCAAACTGGGAAAATGGGTTCAAATAAACATGTTGGGTTGGAAAATGACGGGGGTGTCGTGTTTACCCCCTCATGTTTAGTGAATGCCAGACTCCTCTTGCTGGCTGCCCCCCCGGCAAGAAACACCTCCGGGGAAAAAAATAAGGCGCCGTTGGAGCAGAAAATGGCGACCGACTTGGTCGCATTGTGCGATCACAGATCACTGTCAGGGGCTTTGAGACGAACTGGAGGCAGTTTTGCGTCTGTTTGCGTCTGGTTACACGCAGGATGTCCACAACCAGCACAGGACCTTTTTGTTGCGGCTGTTTGGAAAACGCGGGAGATTCAAGAAAGAGCTGTTTTGTGCAAGCCTCCGACATGACCGGGAGAAGACACTTTGGGAATGTGGTTGGGTGCGCAAAAGCAGTGGAATTTACAGTTGTGGGCAAATCTGAAAGTGGCAATGATGCGGGGTAGCATTGTGGGGAGTTCTCAAAATAGGGATCCACTAAACATGGTTGCTTTCATGCTGGCTTCCCTTTGAATACCAACCAACAGGGGAGCAAGCTTTTTGAGAAGCTCCCATTTGGGCGACGTGACTGGCACTTCCTGGAACATCCAGCTCTAATCCCAAATTCCCTTCGAATCCCAATCCTAGAATCCATGCTCAAGGCCCATGGGTCCTTGTGCGAAGTTCAGGTTGAAGACCAGAGAGAGTTTCCAAGAAACGCAGACCCTGTTTTTGCACATGTTCTAACACACTCAAGATGCACGAGTCACGACGGAACAGAGGAAAACCAGCACTTGGGCAAAGCCTTGCCATCGCTCGCACGGCGTCAGAGGTTTGGGAGGTTTGTGGAACTGTCAAGACATGGGAGCGAGCCTAAAAGTCGCCATTGAAGCAATGAGACATGCCGCACCAGGTAACCCATGTTAGTTGTGGATTCCTCCAAGAAGTGCCCCTACCCCAAAAAGGCAAGTTTCCTCCAAGAAGTGTCCCATCCCAAAATGTCAAGTTTCCACCTTTTCCTTGGATGTCACCTATGCGAGCTTGGGGAGGGCCCTCTAAGGACTAAGTGGGTCCCTTTCACATAGGCCACCTGGCGCCGAGGCTGGTTTGCTGATGGAAGGCACCATCTATGGCGTGTCTGGCGTCGGAGCGCCGAGCGGAAGTCGCGGATTTTGCTCTCACGTGAGCCAAAAAAGCCCGAGACTCTGTTGCCCAGTGCTGCCCCTTTTTTTCAACTTTTTGTTGGGTAAGGCTTCCCCTTTAGAGACTGAACCAACCAAAAAAGGGTGCCGATTCTTTTTTTCCCGTGCAAATCCACTAGGCATCGGGGTAGATGAAGGAAAGTGGGGAGGACAACCCCAACGACAGCTGCGGCCGACTTGCCATGTTTGTAACGGGAGTTGATTGTGGTGCAGAAGCTTTTGAGCACCACACACGAGGTTTGGTCAAAATGACAAGCTAGTCTATGTTTTATGTGGGAGAAAGATGGGGAAATCCCTTCCTATGTCGTTTCCAGAAACAAGCATGTTTTAGCGCGGCTTTCGGGGTACTCTGCTTAACATGGAACCTCAAAAGCCATCAATTGTAGAGGTGTCTTCTTTTCAGGGACCCCGTTTTTGGGTTTCCATGATATTTTGCATGGGCGTAAGATGTGGTTTTGAAGATTGCCAGTCAAGCCGAAGCAAGAAGTGATGCCAATTCGCCTTGGGGCGATGTTTCAAAGTGTTGAGAACCATGCGCCTAATTATCCTGTGCCGTGTTTTGATATTTGTAGGTGGAATCCATGCTACCTAGGAATAATTGTTGGCTCAGTGATTTAAATGAGGTGTCCTATCCTCTGCGTGAACAAGCATGTGTTGCGTTGTTTCTCCGATGTCAGCATCATGGGTCACTTTGGTTCGCTTTCGTTGTTCGAGGGAGCCCCAACTGGAACCAATCTGTTTCTCAGGCGCTTCGCTTTGCTTGAAAGCCGTCACTCGGCAACCTCCTGCAGTCATGCCATTTGTCATGTCATGGAGCCTGTGCAGCTGATCCCCTGGCTGTGGAAAGTGGAAAATGGGGGTGGGGGTTCTGGGACATCAAGGGAATCCGCTAAAGTGACAGAGTCCTGGGTTGCCCTACTTTGGTGTAGCAAATGGTTGACTTCCACAACCATGGTGCTGCTTGGCTGACATTTGTTGACCTCCCCCGCACAACCTGCGCTTGCGCAAGCCTTCAAGCCACCCAACCCTGCAACCCAGCAGCCAAACCGCCCGAACCACTGAAGCAAGCACGCCCCACAGCCAGCCTTCTACCCGACAAAACCAACACTAGGTCCCCCAGTAGTGCCCTTTTACCCTTTTTTGGGGGAGGGTTCCCTACTAAATTAGACTACAGAAAAAGTTGTTACCCTTATTCTAGCCTCTCTACTGGAGGAGTAGAATAGTTCGAGGGAAGCTTTTTCTTCGCCCACCAAAACCAAGGCCCCAGCGCCCCTCGATCCGGCCGAAGCGAGGTGGGCCAGCTGTTGGAGGACACGGCGCACCAACAGCAGGGCGCTGTGGGGTGCAACAGCAGGGAGCCCCGGGCCCCCGGGACGTCGGCTAGGGGAAAGAAATGCCCAAATCCCTTGCAAGGGGGCAAACACCACCCTGACCTACACTGGCATCTCTTTTTGCCGCAATTGGAGGCATTATTTTGCCAAGTCCAAAAGTCTCCAATGCCACCCACTGCACTGCCGAGCAACGGACCCTCAGCTGGTCGGACCCTCAAGAGCCCTGTGGTTGTCAAGTTGACACCGAGGGGCGCGTTCCACGATCGGAATTGGACAGTCCAAAAAGAAACGACAAGTCAAGCCAGGTTTGCAGCAAACTCAGGTGTTGCCTCAAAGGCAAAACATGCAAAGCACAAAAACGGCTTTCGTTTAATTGATTCATCTGTAAGCAGTCGAACCAGTTGATCGTCCTAAAAATGGGAAACCTTTCCTGTACAGGAAGCAACATGGAAACCAGCTCTCCCGCCAACGGAAGTTGAAGGCTGGATCAAACTTGAAATCTTGGAAGCTTCACTTGATTTAACACATTCTTATCGGGTGTTTACAGAAACGGATGAGAGATAGGGCTCCAGGTCACAGACATTGGCGTGGCACAGACAGAGTGCTTCTCTGGTTGAAGTGTGTCAGCCCCCCCCCCCCTCCGACCGGGCGCTGGTCTCCTGTGGCAACCCAAGCCACATATTATTATTTTTTTTCGCGGACCCCAAAATGGGTGGGTTTTCACTTTGGCTTCCATTTAAAGCCAACCCAAAAACGAGTACCCTCCAAAAACAACACACCCATATGTGTTTTGGTTGGCCTTTACCACTGTACGCCTGGTGATTTGGCGGGACATCTTCCCAGACCCCCGGAAAATGCTTCCATCGTTTTGTGTTTTGAGGGGGTTCCCCTTGAATTCACCTACCCGAAAACGACTGCCCTTTTGTTCCAGCGGCCACTACTTGAACTTGAGTTCATTTGCGCACAGGGCATGGGAAAAGCGTCCCTGTCAGCTTTTCTGGGTGGCAACTGGACCGCAAGATTGACTTTTCCCAGAAAGGACTGGACACAGGATGGGGTACTGTTCCATTTGGATGACCCTTTCCTTCCAGAGAGACCATCCGGGTTCAGACGTTTCGCCATTCCCGAGCCTCTATTCACATGCAGTGTGCGATCCAAAGTGAAGAACTTGAACCGGGCTTGAGTTGTTTGCCGTTGAATGTTCGAACCAAACTGGGCGGGAGTTGTGACAAGGAAGCAAGACGTTGCGATGGTTGAAGAGTTGGGAACTGAAGTGCACTTTGGCACATAGCACCTGTCGGAGAGTACCCAGATCAAGTGCAAATTTTCAAGGGAACCCGCGAGTCAGGTACCATTTGGGGAGGGACATTCGTTTGGGCACATCGCAAAATGTTGTGTGCGACCTATGGGCCCCATGAAGGGGGAACCTACTTCCAATTGCTTCACAAGATCGTCTAGTTCCTCCTGTTGATTTTGAAGGGAATATGTTTCTGCTAGAGTCTGGTGTTCGTTTCAAGGGAGCTGAGTCAAGTGGAGAGTAAGCTATGGTTGGTGCACAAAAGACTGCAGCCAAGTTGCTGTTTGAGATAGCTTTACGGACTTCTCTGGCATAAGTCGCTGACGTTTATCTTTTTGTGTGGGTGTCGTGGGGAAGCACTTGCACGATTTTACTTGCTGATACTCCATGGGGAATGAGGGAATGAACCCAGGGGTACCCTTAAAGGAAACCACAAGGGATGGTTTATAGGGGTGATTCCCACATTCCCAACTGAGCAGCAGCAAGTATATGACATGCTGCATGATGTTTACGTCATTCTAAGGTTTTCCCCGTCACATCTCGACTGCAAGCTTTCACAGTGTTCTGGAGAGAGCAGCGATTTGTCAATGTCTTGCTGGGGCGTTGAACAACATATAAGGTTTTGAAAGTAGCGGCAAGGCTTAGAGAACAGGTCACCTTCTTTGGTAGACACATGCATGAGCCATGACTTGATCGTTTGCAAAGTCCTTTCGTATATAAGATAAGCATAGATAATGTATGCATATGTACCATACATGCAATATATGTACTCAAGCTTTACGCACGTGGGGTGTCCTTAGACCGGGCAGGGGGAGGCAATTCTCTTGGATTTCGAGGGAAGTCGTCCAAACGTCCAGGCATCAACCCGGAGACCACGGGCACATTCCAGGCCCTCTGCAGCGGGCCCCAGCTTTCGGAGCCGCTGGGGTGGCCGGGGGGTGGGGTCGGTGAGTGGCCAGGGTAGAACTTCCACATCGATGTCCCTCAGGTTTGCCGTTGAAACCAAGAGAAGATCCGGAGGGCCCTGCTCAACTCATAAAAGTTGCGTCCTTTCCTTTCAGTGGGGATGACCTTTTGAAGGGGAACCTCCCGACACAATTCCGTCCTGTTTTTTTCTTGTCAAATCCAATCGCAACCTGAGAAAGGGTCGGGTGCGATCGCAAACCCATGATGGCTCCTTTCTCGGGCGTCCCTTATCTCAGGTTGGTGATCCAGTTGGGTGATCCTATGTGGTTTGTAAATGGCTGCTTTCTTTGGCTAGTTTTCAGGGGCAACAAAAGCACACATGCCTCTGCCTACGTCAAGTAACAGAAGGCCCCATGTTGTCCCTGTGATTGCATGACCCCGGTTGTCCAGTGGGTGCAGCCAGTTTGTGTGTGCGTGTGTCTGTTTGTGTTTTCCGGTGGCTTCCCCCTGAAAAACAACTAGTAAACAGGTATTTGCTTCCCCTTGTAGCAAGAGGCAAGCATGTTCTTGCATACCAATGCCCCAATGCCCTACAGACTACCTCCCCATACGACCCTCCACTCAGCGGATATACTGCCCGTCGAGGGCCTTTTGGTGCCCAGCTTCAGCTTGTTTAGCCCAAACCGCTTGCAGGGGGCGACGTCTGCTTGGGCTCAACTGGTACTTCCCCACAGCAAAAAGTTACGCCCACTTCAACTATTTTCTTTCGCGATTTTAATTTAGCGAGCATTTTAGGAAGAGACATCGCAGGCGATAAGAGGTGATGTTCTTGCGACGCATGCAAAACAGCATTCTGTCATTGCGTGTGTTAGAAAGCTGGGGGACCCATAAAATCGGTTGCCTCCGCTTTGGCTTCCCTTACGCTTTAGACCAACCGCAAAAAGGGTACTCTCACAAACACAGTCATGTGGGTTTATACGCTTACGAAGCTCACACAGCGTGCCACACACCACCTGCTTGATTCTTTTTGAGGGTAACCCCCTCCCTCTTGAAGGCACCCTTCTTGGGAGGGAATCGTTTTGTGGGTGGTTTGAAGGGTAAACGAAAGGAGAAACAAAACACGAACTGTATCTTGGTGGCTCCCAGCCATCCGGTTCCTTAGCTTTTTAGATCCTTTTAGTGTGTAGTGGTTTCCGCATTTAACCCGCTGAAAGTCAGTCACTCTTAGCGGATCGGAAAACGGGCAGCCCTTCATTGCAGCTCAGGTTCTGCCAAGTCCCTGACGGTGGTCTCAGAAGCCGCCTGCCAGAGGCGGGTTTGGGCGGGTGTGGGGGGGTGTGGGCGGGTGTGGGCGGGCTTGCGGGGGGGGTACCAGTTTCGGAGGTGTGTCGTTTTGTTGGATGAGGCCTCCTTTCTAAGGTTGGCTAGGTTGGCTTTAAGGGAAACCAACACAAAAAGAACACATTTGAGGGCTTAAAGGGGAATCAAGACACAACAAATCAGAATTTCAGGGTCCCCCTATGACACACCTAGCCATTTGGCGGCAACCGAAGTTGTTACGACTGCTAAGCCAAGTTGCCTCTGTGAGACTCTGATGGCGCATGCTGCAAGCCAGGTATGTGATGCATATGTCATGGGGGCTCGGGGGAGGGAGCCCAAGTAAGCCTTTATTAAGCCCCTAAGAAGGCCTTACTTGGGGCTTATTGGGCCTCCCTCCCCCCCAGCTTCCATGACATACGCGAGATTTGTTCGGTAAGATGTGGTGGGAGTGGTTTGCTGGGTTTGGTGTGTCATTGAAGAAGGATGTTGTCATCCACGGCCTCAAGATGTGACATGGGTTTGTCTGAAAATAGGGGAAACCCCTCCAAACCAGTCTTTTCCTTCGGTTTCCCTTTAGCACCCAAAAAAGGGCACGACTGTCGTGAACTGCTCATGGTCAAAGTCAGGACTTACCGAGCTGACAACTCGAAGGAGCAAAAAGCTATAAACTCATCTATGTAACACAGTTGCATGGTTATGCAGTCGGCGCAAAATCCGTCCCACAAAAAACGGAGGACCAAAAACGAGGACTGTCGCCAAAAGCTATGTATAACCACTTGTTTTTTGAGTCCGACTGCGTCAATTTCCGGAGTAAGTTTCAAAACACGTTCTTGGAGCGCCTTTCGTCCGAGTTCCCCTTGAGCATATGGTGCTGCTTCGATAGCCCAAGATGCTGCTACAGAAAGCCAAGGGCTTTTGGTTTGGCTGCGGTGAGCTCATGAGTGAACCCACAAATCCAAACGAGTAACACATGACCAAAGGCGATCGATTTCGTTGCGGTGAGGTTTTGAGTGTAACCACCAGCCCAAACTGTGGGTTGCCTGCAAGGGCTTGCCCGGGATCCGCTGGGTTAAGATATTGCACAGCCCACTGGACAAGGAGCAAAAAGCCGGCTACGGTGCATTCTGCTTGGATGTTAGGACTTTCACTTTTAGCCAACGAATTTTGGGTTTTCCGTATTAAACCCACTAAAAGTGAGTCACTGTTCGCAGGGGAGCAGAAAGACAGAACAAAAAATCGGGTACCCTTATTCTAATCTCAAACTACTGGAGGACCTAGTTAAGATATTGCACAACCCACTGAACAAGGAGCCATTCTAACCTCTCTACTGGAGGACCTAGGAGTTGTGTGTCCTTATACTGGCACCTCCACACCGTAGGCAGTGACTGAGCTCAGGCAACAACCCACAAGCCACAACCCACAAGGACCTAGTTGCACAACCCACACGGAGCAAAACGCCGGGGTGGTGCTTCGGGACCATTGCCAGACCGACCGCCAGGTCTTGCACAGCCTCCTCGGACACAGCCCTTGAGGCAACCCAGCGGAGACCGAGCGCGTTTTTGCCGTCGTTGTTTGTCAAAAAAGCCACCTTTGGTACCATAGGTTGGAAACATAGATGGCGATTCCTGGTTCCCTGGTTTCATCATCTACCAGGGAAACCCATCTATTTCCCCTAAAAGGACACCTATGGTCATGGGCCCTTTTGGGCTGGTGAGATGTTATGATTCAGGTGCTCCCTAGGTCCTGTTGAACACTCCGAACCAGGCACAAAGGGATCCGTCAAGCCCCCGTTTGCTGGGGGCTTTGCCGGGATGGTCAAGCATTGCAAGGCCTTGCATTCAGGGAACCGCGACCCATAGAGGTGTTGACCATGGCACGAATGAATGAAATTTACTTATCGGGTGTTTCCACTAAGACAACATTTGGACCTGGCCATATGAAGGCCTTGATCTTCCACCCAAGTGCAGGCCCTTGACCGATACATGTCAAACCAAAAGCAACATCTGCACCCTGCAGGAAGACCGAAGAGAATGTTCGACAGTTGGTGTTATAATTAATGATTGTGTAATGCTTGACATGCTGCTGACACCTTGTGCTGGCTTTGCAAAATACCCAAGATCAGATGGCCTTGCTTCAGAACGTCTACAGTCTAGCGACTTGCGAGCATGCGCGGCAAGCCCGTTTGGCTGAGGCTGCCATAAAATGCAAGTCGTTGGAGGGCCTGGAGCAGAGAAAAGGAATCGGAAGTGGTAAGGGGAAAGAAATCGCCGGGTTTCTTGGCAGTCCAGGAGTGAAGCTTGCCTTGGCGCCAGGTGGACGGCTACAGCTACACGGTGGTGCCTGCTGGCATGATTGAGCTGGGCGCCTAGTGCAATAGAGCCCCCGACTGCTAGTGCCGCTACAATTTCCCTCCTTGCAGGTTTCCCAAGATAGAGAACCCCTTTTGACTGGTAAAAAGGAAATCCAAAGGAAAGGCGACCATTTTTCGGGGTCCGCTTGAGAAACCGGGGAGGGAGGTCCCTTCTGCCAAACGCCAGTCCTTTTTTTCCCCCATGGCCACTCCGCAGTTGCGGTTGGAAACTGCAGGGTGATCTCTTCGCTTTCTGATCCCACAGCTGTTGAGCAGGGCTCCTCGCAACCATTTGAAACATGTTGTTTTTTCAACACCAAAGTAAAGGGAAACCACCATCTACAAGGCAATGTTCAGGTGTATAATGTAAGGATCCCTGTTGAGGCAACTGCAAACAAACACATTTTGCGCAGTGGAACCGTGATCCGGCCTTCGGTCACTCTTGCCCAAAGTCATGCCGTGCGTGGAGGGAAACTAAGAGGTATCCTCCCACCGACGATTCCATAGAAGTGCCTTCTGACCTCAGAAAGGCTACTTTCCTCTTGGAAAGGAGCTTTACCCACTTCCATGTTAGTTGGTGGTAGGGTAGTATCTCTTGAAAAGGCAGTTGACAACGAAAATAAATGGCGAGGATGGAGTGGACAAGGGCTCAGAGCTCCCAGACGCAGCACGCACAACGGCAAGACTATACTTTGGTGTATTTTGCTTGGATGTTGGGACTTTCACTTTTAGCCAACGAATTTGGGTTTTCCGTATTAAACCACTAACAGTGAGTCACTTTTCGCTAGGGAAGCTAAAAGGACAACCAGCTTGGGGGTCCCCTAAAACACACCAATTTGGTCAGGAGAAATGTGTGTGTATACTTATTTTGGCCCTGCCTGTTTCTGACCTGGACCCCTTGTCGGTGTAAAGGGACGCTAACCGGACACTGCCAGATCTCGGGGGCGTCAATGCTTGACGGCTATCGGGCGACGGATCTTTAGACTCGAAGACTTTTTGGTTGAAATCAAGTTGGGTTTTCCACCACCCCCCCCAAAAAAAGTGAACAACTTTTTGCAGGGGAGCAGAAAGCACCCAAGCCGAGCTTCCGCCGACGCCGACGCCGGAGGCACGGCACCACGGAGTGGCAGAACTGCAGCCCGGGCCCCGTTGTCGGCTGCTCCGGGTACTCCGCCCTGCCTCCGGGTCCGATGGCTGTTGCAGGGCAAACGGTCGGCCAAAGGCTGCGCACACCATTTGGCTTTGCGGTGGTCAAAGCCCGTTTTGGGATCGGATCCCATTTTGGTTGGGATGGGTGAAAATTCGCCACCCAGTTTGGGGTACCTGTTTTAGTGGGGATTGGGATGTTCACTGGGTGTACGGGAGTTTGACCCATGGCCATTTGGTAGACGTTGAGGGGGCACTGGATTTTGTCTCGACATGGGCTGACCTCCCTTGTTTGATTTGTTTTGAGGGACACCGGAGTTAACAAGCCGCCCTGGGAAGTACGTCTGACTTTGCGTACGGTTTTGGAAAGCCAGAAGGAACCCGAAACGCCGCGAGGGGATTGCAACCTTCTGCGGAGGGTTTCTTGGAAGCCGGAAGGAAAGCCATTTTGGGCATCAAACCAGTTCGAGCAAATCGAGTTGAGCGCCCAAGCCCCTTGGCCAGAACAAGATGGCACCGTGATCCTAACTGACCGTGAGTCGCTTGCAGTTTTGAGTCCTGGCAATTCAGCATGGAGAGTATGAAATTTGCGAAACTCGGCTTTGGAGACAGGAAGGCAACTTGAGAGCGACACGGTCCGGCTCGCAAGAAGCGCATTGCAGCGCTATCTCAGCAGGTTTCCGTTGAGCGGTGAACACTTCGTGCCGTGCTGGTAGCAGGGTACCTTGGGCCGTGCGGATCTTTGTAATCTTGGTACCTTGGTACCGGATCAACCGCACGAGCCGAAGCTGGTGGCATGTCTTTGACTTGGTCGCGGGTTGCCTGAGAGTACCTGATTTGGTGGCGACAGTCAGCTTCTCGGAAGCCGCACAGAAAGGCTTGTCAAAGAGATGGTCCCTGTTTCTGGGTGAATTATAACGACCTCACACGACCGAATTCACACCAAATGGTGGTTTATGTGGGGAATAGCCCCCCAACCACCTTGTTTCAGGTTGGTGAAATATTTCATAATTCACCCAGCTGTTTGGACCCTGGCGCTGCCAAAAACCGCCGCCGTGGAAATAACATCCTCCCCCAATCACCCCCCCCCCCCACCCAGCCACGGCGAGAATTGTTGGACACTCAAACCTGGGAAGAATCCCAGTGGGTGCTGCACACCGTGCTGAGCGGACTGACCTCGGGTTTGGCACCTGGCACCTGGGTTGGCTTGTGACTCTGACAGTCACCGCGAATCCCAGAGCTGGAAAGGGACCCTGCCCTGGTGAAAGGCCCAGCCACTGGCCTTGATGGACTGTTCACTACCCTATCTTTGGCTGGCTCTTGTGAGGACGTTAAAACTCCAACTGGGAAGTGGTCTCTTCCATAGGCCTTCCTCATCTTGCTGCTTCTCAGAGAATGAGGGAACGACCCCCGTGGATCTTCCAGCTGTGGAAACTCCCCTTTCGGTCATATGGCTGCGAGTCAATTTATAAGGTCCGGAACAGGGTCCGGAACCCACATGCGATCCAGACCTCCGTTCCAGACCTCCGTTCCAGACCTTGCCTAGAAACATGTTCCAGACCTTCCGTTCCAGACCTTGTTTATGTATGTGTCTAGTTTAGAGTATTGATTCAGACGGTCAGGCTTGTAATCATTGGGACTTGGATGGAATTGGGCAGCGGTTCTGTTGGCAGATGTGTTTAGGGTCAACCCCGCCGCTATTTGTTCGATACGATACGGTAACGGTTCGATACCGTCTCAGTCGTCACATGGTTGAAACGACCATGTTTACATGCTGCTTGCTAGCATTCCCAAGTGCAAGCCACTCGCGTAACCGTTCCAGACCCCGTTCCAGACCCGTTCCAGACGTGTTCCAGACGCAGCGGAGCAATTTGCCACCAAGGCCACATGCGCACACATGCCCCATGTAAGTAGCTGCACTTCTTACGCGGCCCAAGAAGCCTTCAAGGAGGTGCCGTATGGTAAGGCTGCGCGCCCCTGGTCGCTTTATCCATCCATCTACCCATCCATCAATTTATCCATCCATCTATCCATCTTACACTAAATGAACTGTGCTTGAGGACTCCACACATGTCTTCCCAGAGGTCCGGAACAACCAACCTTACGTAACTGACTCGTTCCAGACGTCCGCGTCACCGCGGAACGTTCCACACCAGAATATTGACCCACACCCCTATTTCAAACCTATCGACCATGAGCTTCAGGCACTTTCTCATCCGGCTATTCCGGCACCATTGAGCTGGCCTGCACCGACAATGTCACCACAGCGCGGCCCTCAGTGAGCTCAGAATGCCGGCTGTGATCGCAACCGGTGAGATGACTAACATACTTCAACATTGGAGGTAACACCATGTTTGAACTGGAGATGTGTTTGGGGGAGGTGGTTGGGGAGTGCTCCCTTCCTGTTTTTGACTTGGGTTGCACTCCAAATTAAAGTCGGGAAAAGGGGGGGTGACCCATCCTGGGTTTGCATCAAAAGCCTTACCCCTGGCTCGCATTAGAGCCTTGCTTGTTGAGTTGGCAAGCTTTGGTCTCCTTCAACGCGTTGTTTTGCCAAAGATACTGTATACCATGAATATGAAGCAGAGTCATAACATATGACTGTTTGGAGTACCCCAGATGTAGTAGAATATTTTAGTCAACGGCCAAACAGTGTCAACATGTTTCAGGCCCATCTGAGCAGGTTCGGACTCCAGATCGAGCGATTCAGATTTCGACGCCAGGTGGCGAGCCATCAGTGTACGCCCAACCCGTGCAGGGGGCCTCAGTGCCATAGGTGTCCTTTTTAGTTGATTTGGTTGAAAAATCGATGGGTTTCGATTCCTGGTTGAGTTGGTGGTTCAACCAACTACCAGGGAAACCTATCTATTTTCCCAAAAAGGACACCTATGCTCAGTGGCGTGTTCTTTTCCTCTCAGATCCCCAAGAGGTCGTTGTTTTGTTTGCTCCGGGCGGGATGATTTTTGTAGCCAGAAAACGTGCTACTTGGGGGGGTATCAGAGAAGCCAATTTGTCGGCGGCCTTCAACGTGGGAGCCCGCACTGAGCGAGTGTTTTGTTCTTTTTCTTTTCAGATGCATTCGCCTTGCCGGGGTCTGACCTCACCCTAAGTGTTCAGCGTCGGCTTCGCGAGGATCACCTTGTCATGAGAGTTCTCCCCAGTTGCGTGGATTCCGCCCCTGTTTCCTTCTTTTCTGGGGTTTGGGTTCCGATCCCTTTCAAGTCAAACCAAAGAAGGATGCCCAATCTTTTTTTTTCCCCATGGCCACTGGACATCTGAGTCTCTTTACGGGCTTCCCACTGGGACCCTCCAATCCACAAGAGGCCTGGGGCCGGTTTGATCCATGGTCCTTTGCTTCAGCTAGCTCGGAAAAGGCCCCCCAAAGTTGGGATCGACTTGATGGACCTGGGATCGACTTTTTTGGACCAAAGGTTTGGGTGTGTGAACGGATTGGGTGTGTTTTTTTACGCAATACCAGGCGCAAAAACATGGTGAAAAGCATCCTCAGGGCCCAGTGGCTACTTGATGGTGTGTTATGTGAACTTTTTTTGGGAGTTGGAATTTTGGGGCCACACTCGAGAGCCATTGGGGGGGGGGGGGTCTGGAAAACAGCATAGAGGTTTATTTTGCTTGGTTCCCCTCCTGGACCCCCCAAGAAGGTCCTGAAAGGGATCATATTCCAAGGACTCGACTAGGCCCTTGCCTCAATTCCTGAGTTCACGTTGACGTTGAAGGTTTTGGAAAGCCCAAGTTTTGGTGGAAAGACTCATTTAGAGGTTTTATGTTGCCTTGGAAAGCCCCATTTTGGTGGGAAAGGAACAAGTCAGGCGTCGCTTGGCCTGTCCACTAGTGAAGCACAT